GCAGCCCCTTCACGTTCGGAATCCCCTGATGTGAAACCATTGTCAGCAGAAACTCTGTTGTGAGAGTGCTGCTCCTTCTCGGCCGCCAGTCTGGTGTCCGAGACCCTTCGGTGGCTCCTCGATACTTCAGACCCCCCAACTGCCCCTGCCTTACCCTTGGCATTGATGCCATCCTGTTTCGCCAGCACCTTGGACTTCTGCTCTGCTGCATCCTCACCTGTCGTATATGTGGTGGTGGCTTCCGCTCCCACCCCTCTCTTCCCGTCACTCTCGCCTGCTCCCACCACTGCACCCTCCCCTTGACCATTGCCAGCTTTAGAGTCGCGGACAGCCGTAGGCCAGTTCAGCCGCCGCTCCCCACCATGAAGCAGCTCCTCCGGGCGCAACGCATCCGCCAAGGTGGCGGACGATTTCAGTCGTTCCAGCTTCTCTGCATATGATGGTGAAGTCGGAGAAAAAGGCTTCCATTTCTTTCGACGGGCCATGATGATGTTATGTTAAACGGAAGAACATGCTAAGCATAACCAACGAATAGCTATACCACTCCCAGCATCACGTGCTCGCATGCCTCCGCCGCCTCCCTTTGCTTTGGATATCCTCCCAAGTGACCGTGACCTCTCATCGTCCTATTCCTTCGCTGATAGATAGCTAACTGTCTCTGGAGCCACCATAACCGACTGTCCATTGCACCGTCACAACCAGGATGCACCTGATGCCAAAGAAAATCGGTCATATCAGCCAACCTCTGGCATGTCGGAGGATGAAGGCCTTGCCTGTTCTTTGTCTCAAAGATCTACAGCTCGATTGTGACAAGAAAATAAACAGAGCAATGATCATCATCATCATCATCAAAACAGTACACCGCGGACGCACAGGGACCCCAGCATGCACGGCACCGCACGGGTGACCATACCTGTGAGGAAATCGTCCTGTAAGAGTGAGTACACTCCACTAAACCAACATTCTGTCCATCCGCTCTCTCTCTACTACACAACACCCTACACATGCAATTGGACGCTTTCTAGACCAGAATCTATTCAAAATGTTGGACTCATCCGAACGTACCTGGTCCAGAGAGCGTCCAAGTGCATGTAGAGTGTTGTGCAATGGATCGAGGCCCCATATCAAGCCAATAGAGAATCAAAAAGAGAACTGAAAAGAGTGTATGTAATCAATCAAGCGAATTCAGACATGCATATTGGATTCATGTACTTTGGGAGTCCCGGGACTTTGGGTTTTTTTTCCCCGATGAGCCCATTGGGAAGCGTCTGACGGGACCTGCTGCGCAATTTAGGAGTTATGTAGATGTAGATGTAGATAGATGTAAAAAAAAAAAAAAAAAAAAAAGATGTAGATAGATGTAGACAAGCTCTTCCCTGCCGTACCCATGCTGCAGGAGGTCATGGTGGGGTAAGGGTGAGAGTAGCTGAGCTGGGGGATTTATAAGGAGCAAATGGGAGACTGTGCAGCTTGTTGTCGATCTCCTCTGCCTGTCCGTGGACTCTCTCCGAATCAGAGGTCTGGAGGGATAGCGTATGTCCGCCTGCAAGTTTTTGCTTGTGAATATCAGTCTGCCAATCTGATCCGTCAGTCTGCCAGTCTGTTTAAAAAACAAAAAAGCGGTTCCTTTTGGCTCCGGCTTCTTGTCCATTCTGGGGAGCAACAGTCCGGTTCCTTTTCCACCGGCAAGTCTGTAGATAATAAAATACTAGCTTGCCGCAAGCGGTGGGAGTGGTGCCCGCATACAGGTAGAGTAAGTGAGTGAGTGAGCGTGTGTGGGTATGTACCTGCGTGAGAGTGTTTGCAGCGACACGTGGCGGTGAATCGAGGTTCATGAGGCTCGATTCACTGCATTGGTGATGCTCGATTCACTGCCACGTGTTCATCTAACGAGACACCGATCAAACAAGTGTCATCTCATCAGCCTTGATGACTGATGATGCTCGGTTCACTGTACAAAATCGAAAGCAACAAAGGATCGGCCAAGCCGGACACACACACTTCCGGGCTATACATCACCATACCACCGTATACAAGACCCGGGCACGACGAAGTTGAGGATGACGATGGAAGCTGAGATTGGGTGGCGGTGGTGATGACGCTGACGATGGTGGTGAGAACGATGATGGCCTACAGAGATGACGATGATGATGATGATGATGATGATGATTATGACAATGATGGCAGTTACGCGGTGACGTGGCACTCGCTCATGGTGGTAGCGACGATGATGATGATTCCAGCCCTCCGGCTGGCGCTCGTGGTTACTTTTGTGTGAAAAGCAGCGCTCGCGCGAGAGAGACACAATTAAAAAAAAAAAAAAAAGAGACACGGTACCCACCACGCCGAATCTCCGGAGTGCTGACATTCGCCAGATTCTCTGTACGACTGACACGTGGCCACGACATTCACCACTCACACCGTGCAGCGTCCAGGCTTGCGGCGCAGTGCAAGCATGCCCGTTCCCTGCTCGGTCCAAGCACAGTGTGGTGCGCGCCCCCGCGACGAGCGAAACGGCCTTCCGAATCGCTGCAAGGGGGGAACCCCGCCTGCAAGAGAGGCCCAAAACGTAGACCCACCCCCCGCCTACGCACACCCCGGTCCCACGACTGCTCCAGGGTGCTGGGATTTGGGTATGAAGGGGCCTCCCATTCGCAGCCCTAAGGGCTGCGGTAGGGCTGCGGTATGGTGCAGCCCGTCAGGGGTGCGTTTTATGCCCCTGAGAACATTTTTCGTCGTCGTCTTAGAAGGCTGGAAAAACAAGGCATGGCAGTTTAGGGGGTGGTGGCATCTTATTTCACAGCCCGTCAGGGGTGCGTTATATGCCCCTGAGAACATTTTTCGTCGTGTTCGCAGCCCGTCAGGGATGCGTTTTCCCCCCCTGAGACATTCAACGTTCAACGTGAATTTCAACGTCGGTGGTCGTCGGGAGGGTGGGCATTTGAGGTTTTGGGGCCTTGCAAGGGCCAGGAACGCGTAGGACCGGTAGCTAAGAGTAGGAGGCCGAGGAGGCCGCAGTCCTTTTTCGAAATTGAAACGGTGGGGGTGGTCCTTTTTCGAAATTGAAACGGTGCAGGTCCTACACGTTGTATTCAAATACAATCTGTACCATTTCTATTCGGATTTCGAAAAGAAAAACCTCTTGTATTCCGATAAAATTACTTCTTCTTTTTGTTGGAGGTCAGCGTCTGCC